CCCCCCCCCCCCCCCCCCCTTCTCCTCCTTCCCCCCCGAACCCCCAAACCAATAAAACCCCGCACTCCGAAACACCGCGATACCCTGGTGCCAAGTAGAAACTTAGTAGAAACTGAAAGAAACCTAGCTCTTCACGACAGAACCCTGTAATCAGCCCTTGAAACCCCCACCGAAAAGCCTCATCAGAGTGCTGCCACTGCAGCTCCTGCTCCGGTGCCTCCAAGACGAAAAGGGTTGTACAAGGTTCCAACAGGGCTTTGCATAGGATTTCCTACACATCTTATCGGGGCTTTGGTTTCGGGAACTTATTTAAGGGGGACGGGCCTCGCGATTAGTTTTTGTGTGGGCTTAGCGTTGACGGTTTCCAAACACCACACGGACCCAGATTGAAGGGCTATTCGAGCTGATGGTTCAGAGTAGCACCTTGGGAAGGGGCATGGCAGGCCTGACTCTGATTTCGAGTATTCTGTGCAGGCCNNTCAAAGAAGCCACCTCTTCATCATCCCGGCAACATCCCCACCACATTAATTAACTGCACCCACTAGGCGCAACTAAACGCCGCGAGTGACTCTGAGGTGGTTTTGGACGAAAAGTCCGGTAGCACCCTCCAAAATTCAAGACAAACCGAAACCCTCAACGTCCCGCAAGCCCCCCAAGACTATAAACATGAGGTGTCAGCACCTGACGCTGGAGCCCTGGCTGCGTCGCCGGCGCCGGCGCCAGCGTGGGCTCTACAGGGAAATGCGGCGTGATCGGTGTCCTCCTGAGAAAGGCTTAGGGTTTAGGGTTTAGCCTGTAGAGCGAAAGAAGAGACTGTCTCAAACAGGTGCGGGGCGCATGCCCATACTATGTATATCATCGAATATAAGAGTATGGTATACTACATAAGGTTCCACTGCACGACCAGTAGTCAACTAGGTACGGATTGGGTGTTGATCTCATCTTGTTGTCGATTTGTGGCTTCGGGTCAGGATGCGGGGGAAATAGAGAAGCCTGAATCATCACCAATACTCATTCTTCCTCTAGAATTCCTTAAACTGTACTATTTATCATATACCCCCCCAAAAACCCAATCTAACTATCAAGGCCCCGATATGTACGTGTCGCGAACTTCAGAGATCCGATTGGGCGCACGGCGGAGAGTGCCACGACGTCTGCCTTTGCAACGACGTTCTGGATGGACACCTGATGCCAGAGAGGCTTTTGCAATAGGGCGCCTTAAGAAGTAGAATAGGTTTAGGTTTTAGGGTTTTTGTGTTAGTGTTTAGCGTTTAGGGTTTGCTTTTAGGGTTTAGGGTTTAGGGTTTTTTTGTTTAGGGTTTAGGGCTTAGGTTTTGTTTTTAGGGCTTAAGGCTTTAGGGTTTTTGGGGGGTACTGGATATTACTCCAAAGGCCAGGCGTGCTCGGCTGGAGCATCACTGTGGTCTAGCCCCCACTGAGCCGTCTAGTCTCGTGCTCTCGGAGCAACCATATGGGTAGTTGTCAAAATTATGGTCCCTTTTGGGGTACCCTAAATAATAGGTGCCGTATTATAATAAGGACCCAAAAAGGGACCATAATTTTGACAACCACCCATATGTAGGCTTAGGGTTTTAGGATTTTCTGGCCTTCTTCACGAGATAACCTGTGGTCTGGGTCGCCAGCTGAGTACCCTTTTCGGGGCTTTGGGCTGAGAGCCCTCTGGGCAAAACCAGAGTGAAGCCGTCACAACCCCAAACCCGAAACCCAAAGCCCACAATGCTAGGGACCCTCAGCCCTAAAGCCCTAAAGTGAAATCCCTAAACCCCCGCGAAGCCCTAAACCCTTCAAAAACCCGCCGCGATTGAGATCGGGGCACTAATAATCGGAACGGGGTTGTAATAGGGGTGCTACACTGCAGAGGTTTGTACGGTTTAAAACAGAACATTACCTAGACCCTAAACCCTAAACCCTAAACCCTGAACCCTGCTCGGTGGTCGCCTTTGCGTGGACTGCACCGGAAGCGTAGGCACTCGAAGAAGCCGCGGTGGCCTCGGCAAGCGACGAAGAGCTACAGCTTCGAGTGGCTTTAAGCATTGAGGGATTCAAGGTTTAGCTCCAGGGGTCCCCTCGCCCCGTGCGCTTGCTTGTAGTAGTGTCGGCACAGGCATCGGAAATCTTAATGGACAACCTTCGGACAGGGCTGGGCGAATTGCTGCTAGTAATGAAGGGCTGGCTTCCTGGACTTGAAGTAGTACATTCAAAGGAACAGCTGGTGCGCCAACATGCTTTGAGCCTGTGTATACATTTTGCCACTGCACGCTCCGTATCACATGGCAGCTAGAACCAAACTCGGTGCTGTTCCAAATACTTTATCACGACTTCAAGTCTGCCGCCCTGCAAGGCAAAGTGGTTTGGATGTACATGCTTGATGTTGTTATGAGAGTCACCACCACATATAGGGAGTATCATGTACTGATACTGTAAGGTATGTAGTCTTCTTCTGTTTACATCATCCAGCTATTTGCCGCACAAGTCGCTCGAACGATCCAGCCTGCCCAGCTGGCCTGTTTCCTTGCAGGGGAGTGTCTCCCTTTTGGGGCTTTGTTAGCGTAAGGTTCGAACGAGCCTTCAAAGCGCTCTCAGGTTTCGCGAACGTGAAGCTGTGAGGGAGTACTTCAGGCCAAAAACGGAACTAGCATCCAGATAGGTTCGAAGATCCCGCGATTCCCAGAAGAACGCTCCAAATCTCGGCTGTTCAGTTCGGAGACCCCAGAAGTCAGAACCTGCTTGGTCTGAACATGTAACTGGCAAGCTTGGGATTCAGAAGCTCAGCTACTCCGCCAAGCTGCAAACGCACTCGTGGTATCTTTTGCGGCCCTCATCTCGTGCCCAGAAGAGCCCGCAATCCCCTTGAGCCTTCGAGCCCGAGCCCTACCTCGTGTGTAAGCCGACACGCCTCTCTGAAGACGCCCTAAACCCCAAATCCAAAACCACAAACCCTCAAGCCCGAACCTGGAAGCCCTCATCCCGAAACCTGCACTGTTTAGCCGGTTTTAGGGTTTAGGTTTAGGGTTTGGTGTTTAGGGGGTTCGGGTTTTAGGGTTTAGGGTTTGGTGTTTAGGAGGTTCGGGTTCTAGGGTTTCGGGTTTGGCGTTTAGGGGGTTCGGGTTTTAGGACGACCTAGCGGTGGTTCTCGCCTTCTCCTGATCTCTGCCCAGAAAGCCCAATACCCCTTAAATGAGGAATATACCTTAAATTATAGGGGACTTAGTATTATGATTTAAGGTATATTCCTTAATTAAGGGGTCTTGGGCTCTCTGGGTGAAGCCTGGAATGACTCGAGCTACGGCCGGAGACGGCTTCGAAGCCGGGATCGGGTCTGGCCAAGAGTTAGTAAGGGAGGATCCTTTAAAGGAGCCCCTCAGGGAGCCCTTTATTATCATTAAAGTGTCATGGTTATTACTATTAGGAGGGTGATCAGCATTCTTACTCGTACTACTCCTTATTCGTGTGAGGATTAGTATTTCGACAATTCCTATCATCAATACTAGCAAAATTAATCACGATCACGATCATTATTCCGGGTTCCCATTCGTCCCTGAATCACTGAACCTCGTGCCCACTTCGCCTTTCTGGGATTCACTCCCCTGATCTCCACACCCTATCCTGGAATCCCAGACCCTGCTCCGATGTTGGACCTGCTTGCGGTGGCAGGCTCAGCTTGAATCGCCGATCCTGTCGCCGATTCGACGCGTTGGAACGCGCCCTCCCGTCCCTGTCCGTCTACCTGTCCTGTCCCTCCTTCGTGCTCCAGTCTTCTTGCACCCACGGTATTTGGAGGTTCATGGGTGGTTATCAGTAGGGTTATAAGTAGGGTAACTATAATTATAACCCCATTAGGGGACTTAGAACCCCACTTATAACTACCCATGAACCTCCAAGCAATGTTGGGATCTTGGGAGTGTCGACGGGTTACAAAATTCAGGAAACCCTAAACCCTAAACCCTAAACCCTAGACCCTAAACCCAGGCTCGGTAGTCCGGTGTCCAAGCCCTTCGACCCCCGACTCTTCGGGCCTCTGTAGGCTAGAAGCTCAGTGAAAACCTCGCATGCCTGCTTAGTTGTAGGAGCCTTAATAATAATTAGAATAATAGGGTTATGGGGTATATTAAACTATAGATATAATGAGGAACCCAAAATAGTCTAGGTAATTATTTAGGCCCCTTTATCTTCCAATAAGCTTCTGAATGCAGCACGAAGCACTATGTTCTTCTGAAGGTGAAGCAGGTATGGCCGGTATGGCAGTCGGAGCCAAGAAACGCTTAATTACACTGGGAAAACATCGGGTGGAAGGGACTATGGGATTACAGACCAGACTCGAGGTCTATGACGTGGCGCCCCAAAACCATCCTTTTAATGCAGCTTTTGGCAGTGGAGTGTCTTATACCATGACCACTTCGTGTTAGTTAATCCTGCTCACCCTATAACCCATGAACCGTAAGCTATGCATCACCATGGAAACCCGAAACTGCAGCCTAATTGGAGCAACCCTACCTCCACCCGTCCTGGACCAGTCCGGGTGGCCCGGATCCATTCCGCATCGGCCTCGTGGGGCAGCTCCGCTTCGCAAACTCCTGCAGTGGAGTCTGACGGAAGGTACTCTTGGATGCACCCTGCACCCTAAACCCTAAACCCCCTAAACCCGAAACCCTAAACCCTAAACCCTTTTGAAAAGGCTAGGGCTTTCCGGCTTCAGGTTGGGGTGCCTATGGGCCTGGGGGATCAGGAACTGTTGCTAAGCGACTGACTTCTGCGACTTTGTGGCATGTGTTCGTGCATGTGTTTCTTGCATATGTACGTGCGTACATATGTATGCATTGCATGGATGTACACAATTTGCGAGTAGTGCGAATGGCCTGGGAAAAATGTTCAAGAGGCGCTTGGAGACCAAAGTATACTAAGTAAAGGGCCTTCAAGAATAGAATAGGGCTTTGGATTTATATTAGACTAGAATGATATAGCGACATAAAAGGACTATAAGAGAAGAATACTCTTCAGCCCCAAACCCGAAATCTCAAAATGGCTTCAGCCCCCCTAGACCCTAAACCCCCTGAACCCTAAACCCTAAACCCTAAACCCTAAACCCCCTGAACCCGAAAGCCAGGGTTGCCCTGGCGCCTGCACGCCCTGATGCATCGTCGCCAGCTGGTCGTGAAGCAGCTTCCAACCTCAAGGCTTTGGGCTTTTTAGGGGCTATTGGGGGTTTAGGGTTTAGGGTTTAGGGTTTAGGGTTTCGGCTTTGGGCTTTAGGGGCTATGGGGGGTTTGGGGGTTTAAGGGGTGCTTCCAGCCTCAGCGCTTTGGGCTTTTTAGGGGCTATGGGGGGTTTAGGGTTTAGGGTTTAGGGTTTAGGGTTTGGGGGGTTAGGGGGTTTGGGGGTTTGGGGGGCTTGGGGGGTTTAGGGGGTTTCGGGATTTCGGGATTTCGGGCCTTTCAGTGGGTTTTGGGGCTTCGGGTCTTCAGGGTATAGGATTGGGGCTTTTCGGGTCTGGAGTCTGGGCTGTAGCACATTTCAAGTTGATGCCCGGATCTGACGACTTAGACTGCGGCGTAGGGGTATGCTGTAGCAAGGGGTAACTATGCTTCCAGCGTTAAGATTTGGATTCGAATCTTCGGCGTGAACCAAGTGGATGCCAGACTCCTCACACACTCAATCCGCCTGGGCCCATCAAAAGCCTATAGACGCGCAACTGTCAATCCGGTCAATCCGTCTGGGAGCGGCACATTCCTCATCGGCAGCATGGGATAAGCTTCCCAGGATGTGCGACAAAGGTGCCCCTGGAGCCGACGCGTTGCTGAGATGAGCTTGAAACCCCGAGCCCTAAAAAAACGGGGTTTGTACTCTGCAGCCTTACAAAGGTTCTGTGGTTGGCTTGAATAAGGGAATAGGTTGTAGGATTGAAGTTCCTAAACCCTTAACCCTAAAACCTAAACCTTAAACCCTGAACCCCAAACCCTATGCGAAGAGTCTCTGAAGAGTCAAGCTCCTCCGCGCATTCAGCACTATCCGAAACATGTGAATACAGGATTCGACCGACGACAGGCCTTTTGTGTTCAAGGAAAACAGCGAGAAGGCACGCTGGGGAGTCATTCGTAATCTCTTTAAGAGGTCATGAGCCCAACGCTCTTAAGATTTCAGAAATGGATCCAGCCATGCGACGTCGGGCTGGGCAGGGACAGGGAACCGCAAAATCAACTGCTGAAGCGAACCTGCTGCAATTAGCTGGATGTTTAGATGAACCTGGAACTGCTAGAAATCCGTCGAGAGAGGTGGAACCTGAGGCGGGGCCATTGAGGATAGCCGATGGCACTGAAGGATCTACAGAGGAACTTGTGGCAGAGTGCTGCTGGGAACGTGGGCATGCAAGTGAATCCATCTAAATTTTGGTCGCAAGGATGCCAGATGAAGCGAGATTGAGTAGCTGCAGCCAGACCAGCACATTTGGATGAGACTGTGCGTGATTCTACAGAGATGAGACAGCTGGAGCATCTGGCCTTGCCGGTTCCGAAGAGTCGCCCTGTTAGCCTTGGACTTCGGCACGTGGGATCCGGGAAAATCATGGAAAATCTGCTCGACCTCCTCGTGAAGCTTCAAGCCTCAGCATCCCAGCCTTTCCTCAATCAACGATGACACTTCGTGCTCAACTCATGAACGATTCCGAGATTGGTGTTACCTCGGACAGAGATCCCACCTGGCCTTCGGAGGGGTTACTATGGCGAAATGCGGGACAAACGAATGGGGGAGGGACAAGATGTCTTCAACATTCCGTTCCCACCTGGTAGAGACCCGTTCAATCCTGGACATCGTACGCTCTGGCTGGAACCTTCCTACCCCAGAAGGGGTACATGTGCCCTCTCCAGCTACGCATGCTGGGGATTGGCTTGCGCAGATACGTTCGTTGCTTTACGACTTGAGTGAATCGCGGGTAGAGTGGGAAGCTCAGATATTGTACCGTAAGTGGTCAAAGGCTCCTTCGATTGAGAAGGGTTTGATTCAGCCAAGGATGAGCATTGAGCTGACGCATGTGAGACTTCGGAGATGGAAGAGCAAAGCAGATGCTTCAGACGTCTGTTCCGCAGCTGATCCCGCCTCGAGTTCGCAAGACTTTTTGGTATGTGGATCGAAGAAGGAATGTCGCAGAGAGGTTTTATGTTCAACTTCGCTTGAAGCTCTACTTGCCTGGGCCGTCTGTGTTGTGGGGGTCAATACACTGAGCTGATTGGTCGGAGAAAGACGCTGGCTAGGTTGGAGGAACCTGCTAGCTTGACGGTCGTGATGAGTGGAAAACTTCTGATCGTCATGCTCGGCAGCTTGAGCGACAATGGACTGGGAGAACAGACTTAGAGATCCAAGGACCGTGAGCTGAGCGATTCCGAGAGAAAGTTGCAATTGCAGTGTACCGTCCAGTTTTGCGCGCAAGGCCTCGAGCTATACAAATCTTTCATCAACTTTTCCGCTTGAAGAATCCAATTCCTTTGAAGGTGACTGAGCTCCTTGAAGCGCGCATGCATAGCACACGGGGAGTGCGAACTGTCAAGCTCCTCCGCTCATTCAGCACTATCCGAAACATGTGAATCAGGATTCGACCGAAGGCAGGCCTTTTGTGTTCACGCAAAACGGCGAGAAGGCGCGCTGGGCAGTCACTTGTGATCTCTTCCAGACCCAAGCCCTAAAAACCAGAACCTTAAACCCGAGAACCCCAAACCCCAAGCCTAAACCCTAAACCCTAAACCCTCGAAGTAAGGCTTAAGATTTCGGCTTTGCTGCTCGACTTCAAGACCAGGTTTTGCCGGAAACTTAATCCTGAAACCCCAAAGGTAACCCTCATAATATCAGAGTATGTCTTGTAAAAATAAGCACTAGGGGAGCCCTCACAGTAGCACTGTAAACCCCGACTCCCTAGACCCTCAACCTTAAGCCCTAAACCTTCA